TGAAGCTCATTAATATTTTTTTGAACAGTGTTTGGCTTGATCAACTTGGAAGACGCTTCCTCTCATTTATCTTTTCTCTTTTAATGTAGTCTAAAGTATTCTCTCTGACCAGAATGTCCTGAAAGCCAATCTCTATTCACCTAGGACATACAAACAGACACACATTAATCAGTTGGTGTTTAGTTTGTGTCATCTATTGAGGATAGCCTTTTTTGGATCCTCTCCTACTTAAAACTGTTGCCTCTTTTGTGTTTCCTCTATACCCTTAACAGCTTATTGCTATTACTTGTTAAGTTTTTCTCCCTCTTGCAGGCAGTATTTCCTTGGGGACAAGAACTATGTATTCAGGGCACATACCATATAGTCTTTCTATCATATATTTGAAAGAAAAAACAAAATTGATGGGCTTATAAATGAAGACTGATTTGAATATGTTAAGTGTATTAAAAATTTCCCTTTGATAAATTTTAAGATCTGAATAGCTTTAATTTAGCTTTTTAAAGTTTTGCTTGCTTGTGTGAACTATTCTTATCCCCACTGATGATACTAAAAAGTATGTATGTAAATAAATTATGGGACCTTGAGGTCTGTGGTTGGCACAAATGGTTTGTGCTCAGCTGCTAACCAAAAGTTTGATTGGCTGTCTGTTTCCATAAAGATTACAGCCAAGAAAACCATATGCAACTCAGTTCTATTGTTTAATACATAGATTCTCCATGAGTTGGAATCAATTCCATCACAATGGGTTTCTTTTTGTTTATTTATGAAATTGTGCTATGGGTTAATGTGCTGAATTACAAAGTCATTTTGAATCTCCAACCTTCAAATGGCTTTGCAGTCTGGCACATTAACCCACAGCACCACACCAGGGTACTTAACCCTGAATCAAAGACACTGTGTTTTGATTGATATATGAATTCCTTTGACTATCTAATTCTAAGACCCTCTTGGGCCCTCCAGTCTGGCACTCTGCCTGGTTAGTAAAAAAATATTTCCGTTTCACTAAAACATATACACACCATGAATTTTTCAATATGCCATAAGTTCCATAGTTACTTTCTTTCATGAAAGATGTGCTCAATAGGATGTTCAGTGGCCTTACTCAAAAAGCTATTGTCACCTGGAGATATTGTTGAAATGTGTAGGTTTTGATTCAGTGTAGCTGAAAGGCAAATTCACAACAGAGAACAAGAAGCCAGGGTGATCCAGTTTGAAGCTCTGCTTGACAAGGAGGGGAGAATGCAAGAAATAAGAATAACTGGTAATGCAGGGCTAGAAAATAGGAAGAGTGAACAGCCAGCTAGGTGACCCAAAACCTACTGCTGTTGAGTTGCTTCCTATTCACAATGACCTACATACAGAACAGAGGGGAACTGTTCCATAGGATTTCTGAGGCTGTAAAAGTTTTTGGAAACAGACAACCTCATCTTTATTTCATAGAGCAGCTGGTGAGTTTGAACCATTAACTTTTTGGTTCGCAACCCAATGTTGATACTAGGTTCTTAAGCTAGGTGAATTGAGACTAATACACAAGAACCTTGAAAACCACTGACTTACAGAATCAATTCCAGGCTCTTTAACATAACATAAAGCCCATCATAATTTATTGCCAGATTGACTTTCTTCCTTGTGTGTCATAACTAATCCTTTTTAGTTCTCTTGCTCTGTGGCTTATAGTCTAGACTGCATCTGAATTACCTTGTGAATTAAAAACAAAATGCAGATGACTCCAGATCTGATGAACTGAAATGTAGCTGGGATTGAGAACCATTGCTTTCTCTGTATAGCATAAGACAAAACCAAAATAAACCAGAAAACCCAGTGATACAAAGAAGAAGTTGTACACTTGGTAGTTGATGTTTATTTATAAGCTCACTAGAGGAATCAGCGTAAGAACATAAAAGTTGTGGCCAAAGGCTTAAAAATCTGCCCTACTAGTGTCTGATATAACAGACACACTTAAAGACACCTTTAAGTTACTAGAAATTTCCCAAGGTCATACTGTAGTAAAGTGTATAGTGCTTTCTTACTTAAAAGCCTGTTCCCCTCAAATCAAAAACTTTCCTGTATGAAACCATAGCAGTAGCAGTAAAATTAAAGCTTCCCATTCTTATCAGGAGAGTATAAGTCACTTTGACAGAGAGAAACAGCTTCAGTTTCCAACCCAAGTGCAGAGCTTTAGATGAGAGGGGTATCTGTTTACAGCATTTCACATCTGGGTTTACTTTGTATTCTAGACCAGATGCTGACGTTTATACACGGCCCTTCTTTGCTTTGGGCCTATTTTCGACACTGCTCTATTAAAATATTAATATTCTCACTCTTCCAAATCTTCTAATAATAACCTCTTCCTTTGACAAAACCCTGTGCTGTGGTTTCTTTTCACAATGAGTTACTTTTTAAGACAATTCTAAGGTTTAACTGTCAGGTTGCAGGTTTGTTCTTAGAAAGCTTGGTCTACTTTGACTAAGACAAGTATAACTAATTTAATATTGTGTGTGCCAAGTTGGAAATACATCAATGCACAGAACTCTTCTCTAATTGTATTAATTTTTTCTGGATGTTTTCCTGGTATGTTTGGAGGTAAGTCAGGAAGTAAGGAGTCCTGGTGTGGCACTGTGGGTTAATGTGCCAGACTGCAGAGCCCTTTGAACTGTAAAGTCGGTTGTTCAAGCTCACCAGTCAGCCCTCGGAAACCCTATTCTGGGTCGCCATGGGTCGGAACCGACTTGACGGCACTTAGTAACAACAACAACACAGTGTAGGTAAATTAAAAAGTATTGCTTATCGGTGGTGCCATAGCATAAGCACTAGACCTCAAGGTCGGTTTGAACCATAAGGTCAGCAGTTCAAACTAAACAGCTGCTAGCTGCTCCTGGGAAACCCTGTGCAGTGTCGCTATGAGTCAGAACCGACTCGATGGCTCTTAGCAACAGCAACAACAACAACAAAATCCTAGAAAACTGTATTAAACAAAAACATCAAAACGTGAAGCTGCTATTTCTTGACATATCCTTCATCTAGTCCTGTTTACTTCTGAGAGTTGTATATCCATCTCTAATCCTGCTAAAAAAATTCTGTGCTCTTTGATTTGTACCACATCAAAATGGCAGTCCTTGAGGGACACAAATCATCTGCCTTTTAAGTGCTTGTTGAGTTTGGGGAACAAAAAAAACTGTCTGAAGAGAAAAGATCAAGGCTGTAGGGTAGATAGGGTAAGGTTTCCCAATGAAATTTTCATAGGACAGTGCTTGCTACCCTTTTTCTCAACAGTGCAGCAGTCAGTTTTCTTTAAAATGTCTTTGTAATAAGCCTCCGTGAGCCATCATACGTCCTTTGAGAAAATCTATCAAAATTATCCCCTTTGGGAATCCCAAAACATAATCATAATCTTCCAAGCAGATCTCTCTGCTTTGAATTTAATTTGCTCAGCATATCTACTTGGAAGCCCCTGTTTTTTTCTCTGGATTGTATTGGTAAATCCAAGCAAGACCATCCCCACTTACAATTTGTTCTGTAAAATTGCCCTAGTAAGCTTTGATCTTGCTTAAATGACTGGGGAGTGATCAACTCTTTGAGCTAGCTGGTCTTCTTGTAAACACTTTTGGCACCCCTTGGGCTGAAAGTTTGCTGAAACTGAGATGTTTGCTTACAATTAAATTAAGCTTGCTTGATTACCATCAGTGGTAATTCTAAGGTCTTCCACCAGTTTTTTAATTTGTTTGAGATTGATGTTCTTCCCTCTCTTGGCTCATCTTTGAGGCTTTCCCAACCTTCCTTAAAATGCTTGGCCCATTTAAAAATTGTCTAATATGGGGCAGCATTCCCATTAACATTTTACAAAGCTTCAATGATTTGAGAAGATGTCCTATTTTAATTTTGTAAGAAATTTGATATTAGTCCTGGCCTTAAAAATATTTTTTCCCCCATAGTCCAAAAAAGTATTCTTTTTTGTGAAGACACCCTAAGGAGACTAAGAAAGTATATTACTGAGAGAACTTGTTTGCAGCCATCTTTTGATCAGTTGTTGTTGTTGTTAAGAGCCATCGAGTCGGTTCCGACCCATAGCGACCCTATACAGGGTTTCCGAGGCTGTAAATCTTTACGGGAGCAGAACGCCTCATCTTTCTCCCGCAGAACAGCTGGTAGTTTTGAGCTGCTAACCTTGCAGTTCACATTTCCGTTTTGTAACCACTACGCTACCTACCAGAGCTCCTTTGATCAGAGACACATTTAAAAACGTTTTGTTTGAAATAGACTTGTGCATTTATGAAGTGGAACCCCAGTAGCAATACTTTTTGACTTACCCTTGTAAATATTGCTATTTTTGATTTTGGGGTTTTTAGGGTTATAATTCTTAGTGTCAGTATGTGTGTGTGTTTATAAGGTTTTTGTGGATTGAGTGAAAGTTTACAGGGCAGATCATCAGTTTTACAGTCAACGAATCCTATGCATTGTGTCATTACTATGATTATAATCCCCACCATGTACCATCAGTTAATGGTATTTCTCTATTCATTTTAGTGCTTTTTTTTTTTTTTTTCTTTAAAAACAAAAAAAAACACCCCACTCAGACATATATAATAATTTAAGTTAACAGAGGGCACATTCTGCAAGCCTGTCTTCTGGCCGCCAGCTCTCAGTCCCTCTCTTCCCATGTTTCTAGAGTCCTCAGCTGCTTCCTCTCTTCATGTCCCCAGCTTTGCCCCCTGTTGTTGTTTTTAACCAGCTTTATTGGAGTATAAACTCATTTACTATAAAACACACTCATTATAAATGGATAATTTATTGATTTTTAACAAATTTATTTCACAGTGCAATGAGGGAAGTTTCCTTACACTGGTTAGCAGTTAATTCCTCTTCCCATTCCCAGCCCTTGGCAGACCACTCATCTACTTTCTGTCTGTAGATTTTCAGCTTCAGTTTCAAGCAAAAGTTCTAGTAATCTCAGTAAATGGATATTTGTCTTTAAAACCTCTTTTTTTGTGTGTACTTTCTAGGATGAAGGCTTAAGGCTCAGAAAGGTAGCACATTCGGATAAACCTGGATCAACTTCAGTTGCATCCTTCAGAGACGTCACCAGTCCTCTTCCTTCGCTTCTTGTTGTAATTGCAGCCATTTTCATTGGATTCTTTCTAGGAAAATTCATCTTGTAGAGTGAAGCATGCAGAGTGCTTTCCCCTCGCTCCCCCCCCCCCCCTTGACCAGAAAATGATTTGTTTACCTACCATTTCATTGGTAGTATGGCCCACGGTGACCATTTTTGTTTGTGTGTGTACAGTGTCATATAGGCTTTGCCTTTAATGATCTCTTATGGTTAGAAAACACAGTAAAAACAAACTGTTCGCCTACTGGACAAATTGTATATTACCACATCATCAATAGCAGATGTCAGTTGTACATTCAGTCCTTTATGAAATTCATAAATAAAGAATTGTTCTTTCTTTGTGGTTTTAATAAGAGCTCAAGAATTGTTAAGTCTTGTAAATGTTATTTTAATAATCCCTTTAAATTTTATCTGTTGCTGTTACCTCTTGAAATATGATTTATATTTAGATTGCTAATCCCACTCATTCAGGAAATGCCAAGAGGTATTCTGTGGGGAAATGGTGCCTCTTACAGTGTAAATTTTCTCCTTTACCTTTGCTAATATCATGGCAGAATTTTTTCTTAATCCCTTGTGAGGCAGTTGTTGACTGAGTTTATCATCCTTACAATCCTGTCCCATGGTATTTAACATTTAAAAAAATAATAAAACTGTTAACAGATTCTTGCTCGATAGCTTGTTTGTGTCTGTCGTGTCATTAGATGGGGATACCAGGGAGTCTACTGTATGGTAATTTGAAATTTATCAGGCATATTCTTTCTCACATTGAAACTCTTTCAGATATTAAAATATTTGTAATGAAAAGTCTTCACTGTATTAAAAATAATTGATAAAATTTGCAGTTAATTTTGGTATTGGGAGGCCGCAATTAGTTTATATTCAAGATAATGTTAAATAAGCAAATGCCATTAGCTTAAAAGTACTATATTTTTAGTGAGTTTATATGTATGCCATCTGGCTGTATTGCATTTAATTTATCATGTTCCTATCAGGTTATTTTAGTATCTTCTAAAAGAAGACTAATTCTCCTTTGTTCTAGTCAAGTGTTTTAACCAGCATAATGGATTTTAATTTTAGGAATTGAATACTTATGTAATAATTGAAACATTTCATAATAATAGTTAAACATAGGTGTTTTTTTCCTGCCTAATTTGACATTCAAAATAAATTTCCATTATGGAAATGTTTTATTATTGCACAAGACTTAGAGTTGTTTTTTTGTGTGTGTGTGTGTGAAAAATGATTTACCCTTTGGAAATCTGTCTGTTAACCCCATGAAGCACATTTCTGTATAAATACACGTTGTAGGGTGTAGTACTTTCTTGCACTTAGTCTTCTGTCTTCATTCACAAGAGAAAATTTTGGAGCCAGAGAAAACACTGAGGTTTATTTAAACTGAGTATGGCGTTATAGGATAAGCGCAGGACTGCAAGGTCAGTTTGAACCACACACTGGTGGTTCAAACTCACCAGTTGCTCCTTGGAAACCCAATCCTGGGTCGCTGTGAGTCAAAATCAGTCTGACGACACTTAACAATAACTGGAGTCCTGGTGTGGCGCTGTGGGTTAATGCACCAGACTGCAAAGCCATTTGAACTGTAAGGTTGGAGGTTCAAGCTCACCAGCGTCTCCTTGGAAACCCTATACAGGGTCGTTATGGGCCGGAACCGACTCGTCGGTACTTAACAACAACAACAAACAACAACAAGTAAAGTTTGATTCTTGAAAATATGTGTAGGTTTTCATTAAAGGGGCGTGATGTAGTACAGTGAAGTTAGGCCCATGTTTATGTGCATACACATTTCATAAAAAAGTGTTCTTTTTTGGTTGCCTTTTCATTTTAACTGTTAAATTTGTCAGCTCACATGTATTGTGTCATAGTTCTCTATGGTATCTTTTATAAAATCTCTTGTGTGTAAAAATAACTAGAAACACACAAGTATTGTGTATCCATTTCTATAGCAGCTAATATTTCCATTTTTGGGTGCTGTATTATCATTGTAGAGTCCTGGTGTGGTGCTGTGGGTTAATGTGCCAGACTGCAAAAGCTGTTTGAACTACAAGGTCGGCGGTTCAAACTCACCAGCTGCTCCTTGGAAACCCATACAGGGTCGCTATGGGTCAGAATTGACTCAATGGCACTCAACAACAACAACAACTATCGTTGTAAAAGTTCCCTACCTTTCTAATAACTGACAATGTATGACAACAAAAAGCCTTGCCATATTCATTTTATAAATGCAGAGTTAGTAATTCTTTGGCATAAAGCTCTTGATGTAATAGAACTGGTGATATATATCAAAGTTGGTGTTTCATAGTTACTTTTTTTTTAAAATAATAGTTTTTGAGAATTACCAAAGCAAAGTGTTTTGTATTATTGGAATGATCCTTTATTTTATTCAACCACTTTGCTTTTAGTTGAGGATGAGGCCTTAATCTAAGGGTTAAGGAAACGTTTCTGTATTTCCTAGGTAGGTAAGGCAAAGTTGGAACTAGAATATGTTATCCTGACTCCAGCTTTTCTGGGAACTTTCTAGAAAAAAATCCTAATTTAACAATGACTAAATTAATAAATACAAGATGTTCTTTAATCAGTGTTTGTGAAATTTCCTATTATGAAATTTTCTTGTAGGATACTTCACATATGTGTTTGGTTTTCATGTTTAGAAATATCGCCCATGCCAATAATTATTAGATGTTTTATAAAATGTGTCATGCAATGGTTGGCTTTGAGATCGATGATAATCTCAATAGTATTTTCAAACAAGAAGTATACATTGGCTTTTAACTTGTTTTGCATACCAGGAGATGTTCAGATTGCATAGCAGGCACTTAATTTCTATTATTTTTATTACTGTATGAAATGTGATCAGGTTTTACTATCAGCAATTACTTTCAAAGAGTACAGTACAACTGTGTAGACTGATTAGGTTGTTTGTCTTCATTCTTTAAATGTTTAGAAATATTTGCTTTGCTTACCGGTGTATATAAGCATGAGTGATATAATACTGTTGCTAATATTAAAATTACAATCAAATAACTAAGACCTTAAGTTCATATGTGATGCTAAATGCACTATCCTTTTTTCTATACCTAATGTATCTTAATATTGTCCTTTATTCTTGTATTTACAAGAAACACGTTTAAGAATTTTATTCTAAGTATTATGGTTAATTTAACTTTACTTTTTAAAAGAAATAGCAGAAAAATGCATATCAAATTCAGAAATTCAAAGAAAAGTAATTTTAGTTTCTCCTTTAAGTATCTTAGCTCAGAAGTTCTTTAAAGTTGGTATTTGGTATGGAAATTACTTTTGGATTGTAATCTTTTAGAATATACCACTTTGAAAACAGTTTTATTAATAAGGTAAGAAAAGAAAACCTTTCTTATAGGGTACACCTCCAAATTGTGCTCTGCCATTTTAGAAACATATAAATAATAGTTTTCCTAAAGATTTGCACATTCCTATATAATAATTTTGGTGTGTGTATATCTCTTTCTCTTTTTTAATGACCTTGAGGAGAAGAAAATAGCAATATTTATCATATGGGAAAAAAGCAAACTATGGTCTTTATTTTATAGCTTTCAAGGTAAATTAAAATATTGCGTGAATAAATAAGCTGTTTAAAAATTAGGTGAAGTTTCATTTTCCTTTCCAGAAAGCAAACAGTTTTACGTTCAATTATGATGGTTTGTATATCTGTTTCTGATCACCATTAATAGCTGAGTCAACTGGGACCTGAGTTCTGATGGTCCCATCAGAACTGGGACAGAGCCATTTGCTTAGTGACCCTGGAGGTTAATAAGATCTTTTTAATGGGGGCTGCTGGTGTTCTGTGCAAAAATTGTAATATCTTGGAGAATGACCAGCTTGTACAATAAGTTTGAATATATACTTTTATTAATGAAAAAAATTAATTTTCCTTTCATTAATGAAAATATATATTTAAACTTAACTGTACAACGTTTCTGATTATAAAAATGATGTGTGCATTTTTGACAACAATTTTTAGAGTAACTTTTAAGAAATAAGTTATTTCTGCTATCTAGCAGCAGCAATTACTATGAATATTTTTATTTAATCCTTTTATTGCTCTTTAAGCATAATTGTATAAAGGGGCTTTAAAATTTTTGGAGAATAATGGAATTGAAAGGTAATGACGTTTCTTCATAAATTTTTTTGAGCGACCTAATGGAGGGGGGCGGCGGCTGAACGATGTGCGAGAACTGAGCAGACCTGGTGGAGGTGTTAAATGAAACCCAGACCACGGAGCGGCGGGGTGAGAGGTGTCTGGAGACTAGGTCGATGGGGGGACGCTGCCTAGTGGGAAGAGACTGCAGCGGCCAGCCAGGCTGTCCTTACCCCGAAGGGCGCCACCCAGACTAGCCATTGGATCGTGGCTTTGAGGCAGGGTCGACTGAGACACCCACAAGTGCAGCCCAAGGTGTCTCATTACAAACCTGTCGCCCCTGCTGCGCTTCGCCTCTTGACTGACGCGACATCCGAGGACGGAAATCCCACCTTTGAGCTGGACTTAAGGGCCGTAGCACAAGGAGTTTCGTGTTTAACTGCAACCACACAAGTGCCACTTGTCTGTCGTGCTGTGGTGGTTTGAATTGTTGTGATTCTGAGGGCTATGCCACCAGTATTTTAAATAACCAGCAGGGTCACCCACGGTGGACAGGTTTCAGATGAGCTTCCAAACAAATACTAGGAAGAAAGAGTGACAAACTACTTCCGAATCTCTAGTCACTGAAAACTCTATGAATAGCAGAGAAGCACTGTCAGATACAGGACCAGAAGGTGGGAAGGTACTCAGAATGTGACTGGGGAAAATAAATGCCTTCTCCAAGTAGAGAAAAGCTCACAGAACCTTCATTTGCTAATGGGCCACAAATCAAAATGAAGAGAAACAGCTGTAAACATCCATTGAAAATTGGAACATGGAATGTACAAAGTATGAATCTGGGAAAATTGGAAGTTGTC